ATTTTTCTCTTTGTGTAATTTTAATTAATTATAAAGACATAAATCAAGACCGATCTGCATCGAGCCTGAGCGTAAATACTACGGTTCTTAAGTTACTATTCTGGTAGAAAGTATCGCGCGCGCGTCACGATCGGCGTAAAAATGGTACGTTGATTTCTTACCTTATGATTATTACTATTACAATTATCATTGATATTATCAATATGTTTATTCATATTATTATTTTTATTGCTATTATTACAATATTATTCACTGTAATCATGCGTTATCAAACTTTAATAAATTTGTTTTTCTTTTGTACAAGTCAATGGCTGAAATAACTTTATAGTGCCTGTTTTTCAGTTGCATGATAACATCGTTTCAATTTATGTTAACACGTCGTGAAAAATTAATTTATGTACAATGGACACAAGCTACTGCTTTACGTGCTACTTGCTAGTTGAGAGTATAAATTCTTTACCGGTTTCGGTTTTTATGCGTGTATATGTATGCTTTTTCTCGATTTTTGTTTTATTTACTTGATGTGATATTTCTAGTTACGTGTAAGTATCATCGTTCCCATGGAACTTACCTTTTTTCGTAGAGAAACATGTCCTTTACATTTTTGAAAAAAAAAAAAAAAAATCAAACGAGCTGGTTCCATTCATACGTGAAAATGGCGATAAAGACATCGATTGTTGAAGAATAAATATCTTTAAAATACGCTGAAGGTTGTCGTACGAAATTTAGGACACGTGCATTTATTAAACATTATATCGTTAACGCTATTGAATTGACTGCATCGAGGGTTCGAGATGGTTTTGACAAAGAAACATAAGTTTGTTGTACTTCCAGTTCAAAATATGTTTTAGGAAATGCGTTTAACTCATTGTTATGGTATTTATAAAAAAAAGAGTGAATTAGTTTTACCATGATTTATATATNTAAATTATATAAATATATAAATATATATATATATAGATATGCGATGACCTTTCAGACCGATAAAACTATTATGTGAAAAGTATGTATTGTAAAACAGAAGATTATTGTATCTATATTCAGGACTGACGCAAATGACGATAATAAATATTGTTCTCGAGTCGCAACGATATTTGACGATGATTATTGTATAGTTAAATCGACGTTGAGTAAGCAAAAGTATGGTAAATTAATAAAAATGTGGTAATCACGAGAGAGATTAGCGAAAAAAATATTACGTACGGAATCATAACTTTAGGCAATGCGTATACAAAAAAAAATATATACATCTTGGAAGGATTAGGACACTTTGTAGTTGAGATTATTTGTGAGAAAAAAAAAATCACCTCACGATTGTAAATTTTACATCGGATGATACAGCGACTCACTTTTCTTTTGTATTCACCCTCACGGCGAATGAATAATTTAAAAAAATTACCGTATTGATACTCATCCAAAATGACGGATATTTGTTGAGAGAAAAAATAATAACTGATGAAACTCCTCGAGCTCTCGATGCGTCAATTAATTATTATTATTAGTTATTGCTATTAGTTACAGTTAGTTATTATTATTGCTATTTCTATTATTGTAATTTCTATTGATATTAATATTATTATTGTCAATTATTAGTTATCGCTTTTGATCAGTTGACTGACTGAATTTATGAAATAAATTGATCCCCAAAAATCTACATCAATCGTGTTTCGGCCGAAAGCGAGGTGACTGTTTGAAAAAGTGTGTTATTTTGACACAACTTGCGTTGATCCACGTTAATATCTTGAATAAAAGAGTAATCGGCGAGAACTAGAACTTTTTCTTTTTCTCGCGTTGACAAATGAAAATCAATTAATATGATTGATCAAAGTAAAAAACGCGGAAGGCAGGAAAATGTACAATCGCAAATTTTTAAAACAGTTAAAACCTGTAGACGCATAAGATTTTTTCATGAAAATGAAAAAAAAAATAATAAAAGGGATTTATAACGAGGGAGGAAGTAAGAAAATTTGTATGAATCTTTAAATTTAATGGTATAGTCGACGAGCGCTGTAAAAAGATTTTCGACAGTTGTGATGAATATTTCATACATAAGAGTCTGGATTTTTTCCAAACATTGATTGTTGAATTGATCTGTGAGAAAGACAAAAAACAGATTTATTTCCAAAGTACAAATTAAAGTATGTTTACCAGATGAATTCAATGAAAAGTAAAAATGGTGCGATCCAATTGATTTTAAATAATATCTAAGTAACAATAGGTATCGCAGATTAAGTACATTTTAATTGAAGATGATAAATCAATACATTTAAAATAAAAATTCATCCATCACAATAAACTGTAATCTTTTAACGGCGCTTTAAAAGAAGTAAAAGTAAAAAAAATAATAAAGAGGGAGAGCGAAGTATAGCACGGAGATACGTATAGTTACGATGTGCGTACATTTGATAATTCAGTCTCTTTCGGTTACGAGCCACAGTTCCGCAAGTGTAGAATTTTAAAGTCAAGAATATTTGATGAAAACAAAAATTTTCAGGCAATACCACTAATGAAAGTGTTAAAATGACGAGTGCAGTTATAACCCGGATTATCCAAATGATACGAGTATGCATATATGACGTGAGAGATTGATTATTAAAAAAAAAAAAAAAAAAACTTCAAGGACACCACGTAATTTATATGAAGGGCGAATCGTTGGGTTCCAAAGCGTAAGCGACCTTTCCTAACTGAAAAAAGGAACAAAAAAAAATGAAAAAACCTATGCATCGTCGCGAGCTTTTTTCGCAATTCTTCGCACGCCATGCGCGTGTTAAAACATTACGTACACAATGATTTCGACCAAATAAATAAAAAAACAAAAAAGTCAAGAGACTGTCAAAAAAAAAAAGGGATTTTTCGTAACACTTCAGGACCCCTTGTTCGATGTAAATAGAAGGCGATGAAAATAACGGAATAAATAACGATAGCCATAAAAGGAGAGAAAAAAAACAGCGCCATGTGTATAAAAATTTTCCCCTAGGCAATGTTTTTAGGCTTGTACGAAAATAAAAGATTTTTAATAAATACAGTAGCCACCATACGCGTTGAGATTCACGCGAAGTTGAAAAAAAAATGTTGAACGAATATGTGAGAAAAAAAAATGTAAAACGACAAATTTATTCTAGTCATAAGAGAAAATTTTTAGAGCCTCCTCGAGTGGCTTCGGCTTCATTGTTTGGTCGCCAGCGGATCACTTTTTGTATTTAAAATAAAATCGTAACTTTCTTTCGATTTTACAAAAAAAAAAAAAAAAAAAAAAAAAAAAAGTTAAAAAAAAAAAAAATGAGGAAAACTCAAACACATTGTAAATAACCGCATAAATATTATTTCGCGCCGCTCTGCGCGAATGATCGAAACCTGTATTTGGTACAATCCGGCAAGAAACCCACGAAACATATATATGTAAATTTCATAAATCGAAAATCGACCGAACAAGCGGAAGCCACAGCGGAGGTTCACATTAAAATTAAGGTCTTATAAGAATTATTAAATGGTGGCAAAGGCGAGTGTCGTAGAATGGCGAGAAAATATAATGATTCGAGGAGAAATCGGCGAAAAAATTGCGTGAGAATTTGTCTGAAGGAGTGCGAGGACGAGCGAAGATAAAAATTATTGCGAGAATGCGAGAACGCGTCAGTTATTAAGAGTGAGAGTGATGAAAAACAAAATTTTACTACCAAGTGGACTAGAATCGCAACCGATGGGCATTATTGAAAAAAAAAGTGTAAACAAATAATAAAAATTGAGAGTTTTTCGGAGCGTTTTTTCCAATACGTGAAAATAAAGAAAAAAATGCGTCCAAAATTGTACCTATTTTCATTTTATAAATTATATAAAT